GACAGCCTCTCGACATTGTGCGTTTTTGCCGGCTGTAGCAGCGATATAGCGCTGCTATAGCGCTGCACAGCAAAAACGGATAAAAATGTGGGTTGGAATGGTAAGTCGGTCGGATGTTCATCGCCCGTTCGTCGATCGCCGTTGAATCGCCGTCGTGCTTCATCGTAATTGTTGGGATCGGCCACGAGGCCTCGAACGACTGCCAGTCCTCCGGTGTCGTCCCGAATTTAAATTTAGATATTTTGTTAGGAAAGAAGTCGTAAAAAGATAAAAGTAAAAACAAAAATAAAAAAACTGAATTGGAATGTTTCGGTCCATTAAGTTGCACACATTCCCATTCAGTGCTACAACTGGACCTCGTCAGTGTGACGGTTGCAGCAAAAGTATTAGTAACATGTGATGTGGTAAATTAGAAAATAAAAAATTTTGAAGTCCTGTCCCCCATCACCGGGGAGGGGCATCGTGGTAGGAGACCCATGCCCACCGAGGAATGTAAACAACTACTTCCATTTGGCATAATTCCTGGCACCATGCAAGGAACAAATGAAACGGATAACCGTCTTGAGTAAATTGCGGCTGTACTACGACACATATACAGGCAACATGGACGCGCATAATCTGAAATGTAATTTTGAACAGCGTTTGCTACTGTTTTCGGAAAAATCCATCTTCTGGACAGTTGTATTTGTTTGTTATGTACATAAACAGTTTACATGTGCAGTTGTTGTGTTCATTCAATCAAAGTTCTGGCTTTTTGCCCATCTGATTGTGTAGAAAAGTAGTTGGAGGTCGAAATTTTCCTCGCTTTTCCTTTTTGTCTACTTTTTAGCTGGCTTGGCCTGGAGAATTCAGTGTCAGACAGTAAACTGATAAGAATCACTATTAAATGTTGGCGCTGCCACATCGTTGGTGAATCAGAGGAAGCGAAAATTGTTGGACATTCTATCTACTTGATTGCCAATCAATAAATGTTGGTTGTCCTTTACTTGCACTTTGAACTAAAGAGAACGACCGTAGAGATAGTGGTATTTAGGCGCAAAAGAAGCTGGGAAGAGAGAGGGGACGAGATAGGATGATAGGGGAGGAAAGCTCGGAGTAATTCTTAATTCTTATTTCAAGTAAGAATTACTAGTTTGATCAGTTATGATAATTGTTATGGTGACGACATTACTGAATTTTTTGCCGAAACATGGTTTCCCAGCAAACCCAATAATGTTTTTTATGCGTTTTGTGCTGTGTAACAGCAGTACAAAACGCATATTGTTACGGGGTTGTC